AAAGCCAGCATGTTTGCTAGCATATGGAAGCTGCATAGAAACTGGTCGCAGTCCGGGAGACCTCTGTGATGGCCAACTTCTCAGCATGGTCCTTGTCAGTCAGCCACACCTACAGCTTTCTTACATATATATATATATATATATATATATATATATATATAATATATATATATATATATATATATATATATATATATGATCTAAACACTGCTTTTTAATAAGTTTGCATACATGTAAAGAGTATGTGAACAGCTGTGAACAACAACAATCATGTTTATTGTTTGCATTCTAACCTTAGTGGGTCCTAAAATGCATGTTGATGAAGCTAAGATCTCCAGCAACATCCTTCCTTGCCTCACCAGATCCAAATTTGCTTTTCAAACACAGCCGCTGTTTTCCCAAAGTTTTTAAAATTGATAAATACCTGTTTTTGGCCCACTTGTTTTGTTACAATTGGGTACCTCACTCACAAGATATCTCCTTGTCAATGCTAGACTTTGAAAAAAAACTTAATCATTCCCAGCTGTTCCTTTACAGCTTTCAATACATTTTGTTAGAAGCATATATGTACTGGTCAAATGTTTTCTTAAATTAATACCACCTGATGTAAATTACTTTCCAGCATTTCCACAAAATCCACATATTTTGATGAAAACACCTACCCAGTCTTGCTTTCAGCCAGGATGGGCCAATTCCTTTTCAAACCAGAAGACAGGCATTCAAAAAATCAGCTGAAGATCACCATTATCTTATACATAAGCACTGTAACATTCAATCAGCTGACCAAACCTGCTCCCATTGTGACAAAATGTATAGGTACAAAGTATGTACTACTTTTAATGAATACCTAAATACAAAGAGTAGAAACAAGTGAGGGAAAATCAGTCCAGCCTGCTGATGCTGACAGAGGGAATGGCACCATGGATTTTTGGTTTGGGGGGAGGATATCCAAGGGGCCTCCTAAGCAAAATGGGGCTGCCTCACAGGGGACCTCATGGGCAATGTTGTCTTGAAAGTTGAAGGGAAAGGAAAATTGCAGGCATATGTTCTTTTACCAAACTGTTATAAGCATTATATCCAGGTAAATAGATGTTGACAATAAACAAACAGGACCTTATAATTTTGCAACAAAGGGCATTGGTACCATACAACATGGCCTCCTGGCACGTGAAAGGGCTTTGTCACCAAGAACAGCATACTTTCAATCCACAAAAGGGGTCTTCAAAGTTCAAGGAGATCCTGATTTGGAACTGCTGCCATCTACCCGTCTGCCGGCAATGGGAGGGGGGGGGGGAGGGGGCAGGGACAGCCCTATGCCATTGCTGCGCCGTCCCTGGTTGAAAGCACCCTGATTTTGACCTACGCCTCGTCTCTGGCCAAGTGTACCTATTTAATGAAATTACTTTCATTGATCTGTGACTCGATTCTACATGCACATACCTTCATGCACGCACAATATGCACATACCTTCAATCCTCATTTGCCGCGCACCACATCCACCCTCACCCGCACCTCGACACCGCCCGGCGTTCAAAACCGCGCGTCGGCGCGGACACGGTCGCAAACGCAGGCGAATGCGCATGCGCAAACGTGACGTCATGAATCTGACTCGATTTACACAGTGGTGCAGTTGTGTGTAAATCGACTCGGATCCGACGTGATTTACACAGAAGGGCCGTTTTCAGTAAATCGACTCATGAGTCGATATACACGCTCCCTTTTAATAAAAATGATCCTAGTGATATTCTTTGTTACAATCTATGTTTTCTACTACTACTGTTTTTGTTCCTGCTCTCCATGTTTTACGATTTCTCTAATGCTATTTATTTACTGGGGAACGCAACCATACGCCACACCAATCACTGTCACCCGCTTTTTCATGGCTACCCTCGGTGGTCCAATTCCCTTCCTATCTACCGTACGTTGCATTCCCCAAACCAGAGACAAATGTCCCCACCCCTCCTAACGTACTCGCCAACGCAAAAGCTACCAAATAAAACCCTCGCTTCTTTGACGGAGTGATTCTTAAATCTGGTAGCGCTTTCTCTCCACTCTAACGAGCCGACCAAAATCCTAGGCCCCGTTCGATCTGTCGTTAGCGCGTCTGTCAGCACCAATCACGGTTCAGCATTTGCCTACGTCATATCACGCGACCACAAAGCCACATGGCCTGTTACGTCATGTACCGGCTGACGATGATGCCCGAATTTTTTGTCAGCCTGTCAGGATGGGGTAAAAGCGTTACGAGATCAAAAAATCACTCCGACTGAAGCGGGAGTTTGATTTGGTAGCTCCTGCGTTGGCGAGTACGTTAGGTGGGGTGGGGGCACTTGTCTCTGATCTTGGGGGAAATTCGACGTAAGAAAGAAAGGGAGGGAGTTGAAATGCTTAGAGTAGCCATGAAACGGTGAGTGACAGTGATTGGTGCGGTATGTGACTGCGTTGCCTCGGTAAAATGATAGCATTATAAGTCCAGCATTTAGAGAGGGCCGAAATTGAAATAAGTTGGAAATGGGAGCAAGCGCTCAACATATGGACGGGATAGATGATGGTAATACTGGAACAGAAGCCACACTTCCAAACACCACTTTGTTCCTAGTGTGTCATGGTCGGTGGTAAGCCAGAGTTATTGTGGGAATTGAAAGTAAAAGATAAAAGAGGAAGGGAGAGCAAAGCTAAAGAAACTTTCCCGTCAGCCCACATATCAAACGCTCCGTCAGCATGCGTGACGTCACGCATTTCAGCTGACAATCGTGCTGGCGACAGATCGAAATTGGCCTCTGTCAGGAGGCCTGATGTCACGCATTCTAGCTGATAATCGTGCTGACGACAGATCGAACGGGGCTAAAGAAGCGGGAGTTTAAGCCAGAAGCTCTCGCGTTGGCGTGTACGTCAGGTTGGGTGGAGGCACTTATCTCCACTTTTTAGGGAGGGGGGAATGCAACGTAGAATAGGTGAGAGGGGAGTTGAACGGCTAAGAGTGGCCATGAGAAGGTGAGTGACAATGATTGGTGTGGTGTTTGGTTGCGTTCTCCACTAAGTAAGTAGCGTCAGGGTAATTGTAAAAGATGGAGAACAGGAACTGAAACGCCTCGCATCTCAAACATGGGCTTTGTCACTGAAAATGGGAGTTCAATGAAAGGATAGGCGCCATCCTAGCACCAGTAGCAGCGAAGGATCGATAGACCTTTTGTACACAAGTGCGTGAACACTTGATGTAGGAGGGGAAGCAATGAAATGAGATGAGAATTGGGGGGGGGGGGGAGGGGAACACTCAACCTACGCGTGGGATAGGTGATGGTAGTATCGGAGCAGGAGCCACACCTCTACTCACCATTTTATAAGCGGGGCGTTATGGTCTGCGGTAAGCGCGAGTTAGACGTTAAAATGTGAAGGAAAAAGGAAGTTAAGGCTAAAAACTTTTCCTCTCAGCCCTCACATCGAAGGCTCCGCCAGCACGCATGGCGTCACATATTCCAGATAATGGTGTTGACGACAGATTGGATCAGACCCATGTCAGTATAAATAGCAGTAAAAGCAATGCCCTTTCCACGGTAATGGAGTCAACAATAAAATGAGAAATGAAAATGCTGCAATAAAATGGGAGTGAAAAGAAGCATCCAGCTTGCGGGTAGGATAGATAGTAATACTTAACCATGTGTCACACTTCCATGTACCGTGGTTCGCCATATTATAACATGGTATACCATATTCCATACACATAGGTAGTGTGTCGGGCTGAAGTAAACATTCTCCTGGGTGGCCTGCTGAATACGCTTCGCTCGGGTGGGGCACAAGTTAACCAACCCCTGAGATCTCCAAAACTAAGATAGCTTGAGATGCAATATTCACAGGGTAGCTTGACCTTAACGTGAACTCACTTGTGCCAAAATTTGAGGTTTCTATGTCATGACTCAGGGGTGAAATAAGGAAAAAATATAAAAGTCCTGATTGGTGTCTAAAGTGTCCTCAGAACTCCTCGTGCAACCGCCGTGTAGCTAGATACCTGCGCTATGCAAATGAGCAGCGAGGTCGGTGGAATTGTGTTCGTAGTGCAGTTGTATGTGTCCTGCACCCCTGCTGGGGCGGGGCGCGGCACGCGGTCAGGTTCGCAGGCCGGCCCCGGCTGCGCGGCAGATGCGCGCCGCCGCCGCAGTTCGCACGGCCCCGGCTCGCGGCCCCCGCTGTCGGGGAGTCGCCGTTGGGAGAGCAGCGAGGGCAGGTGCACCGTCAGGGGCTGCAGCCCCGACGGTGCGAGACTAAAATACAGAGAAGATGTGGTGAAACACTTGGCGTCTCATTACAAATTGTTTAACCTTTTTGAGGTCAAGGTAACCAAATACGAGATAATCCTAGTTTGCCATTCAAATCAGTATCAGGAACTGCAAAAGTCCATGGAACATGTGTATTGCGGTCCCTGTTACGAATAAAACGAATTAAGTACCAGAAGCTTTCATATAAAACGAAGCTCTCGAGAAAAAACAGGGTAGTAATAACCTCGCTCTGATCTTCATACCTGAGCTTAGATCAATGGTGTTAGTTGTGATTTTAAATTCTGCTGGTTGATTGCCTAAGAAGCTATCTGAGATGCGTATGGTTTCGTCTAACCCTCCTTTGCTGCATGCCATTGAAGGATTCCCTAAAATTCTTCTTCGCATACAGCCATTGTATGAGTTGGACTTACCAAAGGTCAGCGATCTTGCTTGGCACAGGGCTTCTGGAGAGGCTTGGTACATCTAATTTTGCACCAAAATATCTGTCATTCAGTTTTCTGTAGTCATGCCAAGTTTGGTACGGCTACTCCGCGCCGTTCGGAAAGCCTTTTGAGAAGACCCTCGCGGGTACGGGGCAACTTGACCCCTCACCCCCATCCGAGCGCTTATTGACAGGCAAATGAAAGAAGAGGCGAAGCTAAAACCTTCGATTCCCAATATGGCAAGAATAAGCAGAGTTGTAACCCAGTTGAGACAAATATAGCGCATTTAGGCTGCCGGCTTGGGCCCGCTTTATTTGCTTCTCCGGTTTACTATTCCACGAGTTTTTACATGCTGTGGTGAAGCATAGGGCCTGATCTGGGCTGTGCCACGGTCTGTTAGGACTATGGCAGTACATGTTACATGTCCCAGGGTACTGTGAGATGTCCCACTTTAGCAAATCCAGCTCCTAAATGGGAGAAATCGGCCCAAATTTAGCTTCGTGTGCCATTGACATGCATGTGCGCGATCTCGTCAAGATTTGCGATGTTTTGTGCGAGAATTGATGTAATTGCCATACAGGTGGGAAATAAAACCATTTTACTAACATTTTAACTTTGCTGTGACAAAATCAACCCTAACTCGGAGTGTGCCGATGAGCAATGGCTGTGAGGGGGAGGTTGCTGTGCCAAAGGATGATGTATTTGCATTAAGATCCACCTGGTGGACTTTGATTTAAGTGTATGGTGGTAAATAGATATGCAGTGTACATAGTAAAAGAGCAATCCTGTCATTGACACAGGAATATGGATGCACATTTAGTGAGCACATATATTGCATATAACACAACATTGCAAAGCTCAAAACAGCAAGGTGGTTGGTTATGCTGTCTTGCTCAATTCACATGCATTTAAACAGCTAGTGCCTGAGGATTGGTGTTGAGCCTATTCAGCTGAACAATTGCAGAATGTTATAATGTTATGTTTGATCCCCCTGTTCTTGCCTTAGCCACAAGAATGTTTTGACATTAGCTGTATGCAGGTTTGTTAAGTATGCTGGGTGGAAGCTTAGGCAAGATTCTTGATGTAAGGTCGTTACCACCTAACTAGAGGCTGGGGTAACACCCAGCAGTGAAAAATGTATGATGATGATGATGATTTGGGGTTTTAGGGCGCATCGACTGCTAGAGGTCATGCAGCGCCCTTGAAAAATGTATGATAGTCAAATGACAGATGTGGATGCAGCTCTGGCAAAGCTGATGTGGAATGGTATAAAGCAAGTGTCATGACAAAAAGAATGCACACAGAATTTCAGAATGCCAGAATGCCAGAATGCCAGAACCCCTGGAAAGCTTGGAAACAATTATGGAAGCAAATGCAGCAGTCAATGAGCTAAAAGGATGACAACTACATCTGCAAAAATCTAAGCCCATTGCTTTGTTCTTCCTTCCATAATTGTTTTGCCCAGTCTTACTTTATCATTGATCAAATAAGTTGTTTATCAGCTTTGAGAGCATTGATTTTTGAATTTTGAGAAGGGATGTATGCAAGCCCAAGGAAAGCTGAACTCAGACTCATCCATGATTCATACCAGTTAACTTGATTGCAAACATAAGTATGGCAGTGCAGTGCCATCTTTGAAGCTCAAGTGGTCACTGTCACACCAGCCACCCTGCATTTTCCATATGTGGAGCTGCACTGTCCCAGCAAGATCATGACAACCCTTGTGGTAGTTTGCAGACTACCACACAGGGCTGTGTGCTCTTGTTGAGACCTGGAATGTGTTGTAGTGATGGGGGTGTCAGTATGAATGGGCTGTATTTTAGTCCATATACATTTTCAAATGAGAACTGGTCAGAAGATGGCCTGTGTAGGCCATTCATTGCCATATAATTGGATTGTTTACCATCTTGACATTGCTATTTTTGGCAGGTTTGTCTGAGCCTCTTGGGATTTATGGCATTGGCAAAGGAAAATTACAATTGTGCAACCATGACCCCCCATCAGTCATGGAGTCTGCAGAGTCCTTGTGTCCAAATGTGACTGGGAAGCATGCCAGATTAGATGCCATGTCTTTTTTCAATGACACTTCTGCACACCATTTATGTGGCAGTGCAAAAGTGACCAAAACACTGTGGCAACCTATAATTTTCTTTTGTAAATTATTGTTTCCTTGCAGGCAGTGTTGGTTGAATGCTGTACATCTGTTGTTTGTCCACACACTGAATTTATAAAGTTATAATATTATGATGTATATATAACATGGGATATATTATGTAACATAATATATAATAATAAAATTATAAAATATATAAAATAATAGAAATAATAATATTATATTATAAAGCCCCATAGACAAAGTATTTAAGGTTGTTCCTAATCATTTTGAAATTTGTAATTAATCTCAATCAACTGCATCTCCTGTTTTTACCCCATGACAAGGTTTCTGGATCTGTTGTGACATTCTCACTCTCATTTTCCAGATAAGAGGGAGTTAGTGGTTGCTAATTGTGCCACACCAAATATCAAAGTTACCAGCCATGCAGCCTGCAGCAGCCATCGTCCTGGTGATGCTCGGATGCTGCTCCAACGTGGTCTTTCTGGAGTTCCTGACAAAGTAAGCTGCATCGGTAAAAATGTGTGCCCAGTTGCATTTGGTTTTACATAGTCTTAATCGGTCTGCGCTGAAGGAAAATCTGCTTCGGACAAATTGTGTTATCGGTCTGTGCTGACGGGACATCTGTTTGGAATAACTCGTGTTTTCCCAATCGCTCGCTATCTGTGAAAGCCGTGGAATAAATAAATCATACGCTCAATTGACAAGAATTATCCGATCATTTGTAACCAGCCGTCTTTGATGAACTTCCCTCGCTAATCGTCTTTGCATCTGTCGCTCATATGCCAGCGTGCCGGATTGTCGTCGTGTAACATTGTTGTCCAAATACACAAAACCAAGCCTCTGTTTAATTCCTGCTATTTTTCAGAGCTCACCCCGGTTGTGGAAACTTGGTGACATTTTCTCAATTTCTCTTTATATCTGTTCATGGATTCCTGTTTACTATGAGGTGTGGGAGAGAGTCTTCCAAGATACCCATTAGGTAAGTTGCTTGTTTGTTGTCCTCGATACGCCTGCGCTCAGTTGTCACTTGGTCTTTGAGGGGAAATTCGACGGAGCATCTCATAGAATGGAATGGATAACTGAGTTCTTGAAATGGAGTTCTTGCCAAGTATGACGCGTGACAAGGATCGACACGGTTACGCAATTTTCACCGTGACCTCGGTCAAATTGTGGCGACGAGTTTTATCGGGGGATGCCACGGCTTCTTCATGACACCTTGACACCGTTGATGTGTCAGTCGGCCGTTGTCGAGTTATTTAAGGACGGTTTCTGCGCAGCGAATCCATAGCTACGGGCACGACAAGATTACGTAAAAACCAAGTGTTTTTTATTCCACTTTTTTAATAATCCAGATTTTCCTCCATGTTTCGGTATTTGCTTACTCTGGTCGGTCAACAGCGCTGGTAATATCAGTATATTGGACAGCGCGGGTCTTGTTAACTGTATTGTGATGGGCAATGGTGCGTACCTAGTCTTTTTTAGACCGAAATCCATGCGTACCTATATGCTTTACATGCGTACTTCAGATGTGATGGAGAACGTTGCAGCGTTAACGTTACATATTTACGTAAGTGATGGGATAGTACCGTTATTCGTGGCACTCACGATCTCATGCACATACATTCCACCCACTTGTATTACCTGGTTGCGAGAGGTTCACAAGCGCTCATGTCAGATTTCCTTTATAAGGCGATACGCCGCTGCGAAAGTAGACGGGGGACCAAGCTCAGTGTCGTTTATATGTGTTTGAAACTGAACTTACGCGAATTTTGCGTTTATTTCAATGGATAATGGATGACAACTGGATGCGTGATTTGTGATACCTGCTAGCGCGAAACACGGTACATATTATTTTCGTTTCAAATGATATATGTATGGCAGGGAGTACGTGATCATGGTTGGGATGTTCTTCGCATCAAGCGTGTTGAACAACTACGCGCTGAACTTCGGCATCCCCATGCCTCTTCATATGATCTTCAAGTCGGTACGCGTGCCATCTGGCAACCAAGGGCCGGCCGCATGCTCTGGCCTCATCTCTGGGGGCACAGGATTGTCTTAAAATGCGTGTGTTTGTGCACGTGCGTGCGTGCTTGCGTGTGTATGGGTGTGCGTGATGTCAAAACTCCCCATAAATTCCGTCTGTTATACATTGCCATCAGATTAATGTTTGCTTCATCTGATTAAAGTTCATAGTTTATAGCTGAAGTAAATCTAAACGTCATTGGTATTTAATGGCATAGAAGGTTGTTTGCCAGTTCTGTTTGTTACTGCATGCAGGGATTTTCTGCATACCCGCATATGTCACAAATGCTTACACTTTCAAGTTTGTTTTTTTGTCGTGTATGATAGCTGAAGCAGTTTGTCATTTGAGCTTACCAGCCCTGACGGCAGCTGGCCCATCCCAGTGTTTATAAGAGCTCTCAGCTGTCTGAATGTGCTAATAGATTACCACCCCCAGCCCCCCCCCCCCCTACCCACATAACATCCATCACTGTGCCTCTCGTTTGTGTCATGTCCATGCCACAGGTTGTGCCGCGACTGTTGGTTGTTTCTGTATGCATTGTCTCCACTTTTTACGTGTTAAGAAGCTGCACAGCTATGAAGCGACCAGTGTAGCACTATGCCCGCGTCGGTGCTCTTTTGCATACGTTTGATCTGATATGCAGCCCCGCTGCGTTTATCTGGTAACATGGAAAGGATCAATACCGCCTTTGGTGGGTGATCAGCATTCGTTTCGGCATCACGCTTCGTAATTCACGAGCATTTATGCTTGCGTGTAATTCACGATCACGAGGTGTGTTTTGTGATCTTCACGAGTTTGCTTGCGAGGCCGGATATTGAGACAATTATGCATGCAGGCACATCCGAGATACCCAGAGCCGGAACGGCTACTGTTCTGTTTTAGGGCTCTCTTGTCGCCAACTTGCTGATGGGTATGGTCGTGCTCAAGCGATTTTACCGAAAGCACAAATATATTGCGGTCGTGCTCATCACCCTGGGCATTATCCTGTGCACTCTGGCATCTCAGGTGAGCTATATATTGCGGTCGTGCTCATCACCCTGGGCATTATCCTGTGCACTCTGGCATCTCAGGTGAGCTATATATTGCGGTCGTGCTCATCTCCCTGGGCATTATCCTGTGCACTCTGGCATCTCAGGTGAGCTATGTATTGCGGTCGTGCTCATCTCCCTGGGCATTATCCTGTGCACTCTGGCATCTCAGGTGAGCTATATTCCAGAGAATGTGAATGATCAGGCGGTGCTGCACTCCCGTGCGCAACATGCGCCATGAGTCCAGATAGTGTTCGATCAGCGGGACCTGTTCTGGGCCTCTTTATGTAGACTTGAGGGATAGGTGCATCTTGTGTGTCTTAAGTTTGAAATGAAGCAGGTTGAAGGCGTCTGCCGTTGCGCGCTGGTGTCTATGCTAAGTTTCTCAGTATTTTACTGTTTTGCGCAAGCCGTCACGGCCCGACTCGGACCTGTCAGTAGTCGCGCCTGCGATCGTGTTGTCGAGTGTCTCATCGCTGCCCGGGCGCTGGCGGGCCGGTGTCTGGCCGCCCGCCAGCCGCGCCTCAAGCCGCGCACACCGCGCTGACGGGCGCTGTGGGCTGGCCAGGCTGTGAAGAACGCCAAGAAGGCGGACGCGGCGGCGACGGTGGAGCAGCCGGCCGGCCTGGACCGCAGCAGTCCGGTGACGCTGGCCGTGGGCGCCGGCGTGCTGACCGCGGCGCTCCTGCTGTCAGCCCGGCTCGGCATCTTCCAGGAGGTGCTTTACAAGACCCACGGCAAGCACGCCCAGCAGGCCCTCTTCATCACGGTAGGCAGGAGAGAGCGAGAGCCGCTCGCCGCCGGAATGGTGACGGGCAGTCCTGGTAGCGCGGCGGCCAGTGCGTCAGTCGTGTTGAAAAGCTGCTGTCAGACGCGGTCGGGTCTAGATACATTCCGCGGGTGCGATTCACGTGTGGGGTGTCATGTGTGGTGTCGTATGCGCGGCCATTTTCTGGTGTTCCTGTATAGGGTGTCTGTGGGTACAGGTACCACGTGCGCTCATGCCGGAGTGCGGAACACCTGAAACGTTTCATATGGTAACGGCATTTAAAAGTTATTGTGCTTGACGGTTGGTGCATGCACGCCTGTTTGCGGCTGCATCTGGCTAGCTGATCGAGCCCTACATCCAATCCGCAAGTAGAGGGCGCTCGCACCGACCCTCACAGAGGGCGCCAAGACAACGCTGACTCGTTTTCATGGGTGCCCGTTGCCGAAAGCAACGTCCGAACAATGATCTCTTCTGTTCAAATGCGGCTGCCACAAATTGTAGTTCCTTACGCATTGTATACGGAACGTATTTGCCGGGCTGAAAGTACAATTACATATGGGTATTGTCTTGGACAATTCAGCCATCAAGATGTTGGCCTCGATGCATGCAGTACCCAGGTTGAAACGTAGTTTTTAACATTCGATCTGTGTGATTGGCTTCACTCGGGCGTAAATCTCAAAGCTGAATGGGCAGCGTAAAGTTTGCATTTACTTGATCTAACTCACGCCAGTGGCATGTAAAACTAAAGTGAAATTCAGGACAATAACATCGCGGCATGGATGTTCACTAAGTTCACGACCCACTTTCTGAACTATCCATCGTCCAAGAGAACTAATTTTTAACAACAATCACAGAAAACAACCTTACAGCGAAAGCGCTCACCCACGCCGCGGCGAGGTAAAGGGCCATCGTGTGTGTTATCCGGCTGTATGTGCTGAGTCATGTTCTGGTGTTGCTGGCAGCACTCCCTGCCGCTGCCAGGCTTCCTACTGCTGATGCCGGACATCATTCACCATGCGCGGCTGTTCTCTGAGTCGGAGGCCGTGCTGGTCGGCACGCTCGAGCTGCCCGTCCCCAGGCTCTGGCTCTGCCTGCTCTGCAACGTCATCACGCAGTATCCTTTTGTCGAGGGGTCGCCGAAGCAGGCGCATGACTGCTTTTCCATCGTCAGTAATTTGCGCTATGCTCGGCATACCCAGTTGCCGTTTTTGTAAGTAATTCCGTTGTCATGTTTTCTGTATGCACGTGGACCATGCGGCTCTCAGGCACGCCATGTGCCGGTAGTACTCATTCAAAACGCAAAAGGTATTCCACTTGTCCAAAGACCGTTTTTGCCGTGTGTCCGGTGCTTTTCCCGATGTCATGATGCCACGCTTGGCGTGGGTGTCGCCGTGCTGTCGGGAAACCGCAGTTTTGGAATTGTGTTAGATTCCTCTACGGTGCACAGCCAAGTTGGCCTGGAGCTGGAACGTGCCAAAGTAGTGCAGATGTCATCGATATCACTCAACGGCCGTCGATCCGCCCTGCGTTTTTTTGAGACCCCGCCTGAACTACTGCGGCATCCACAACGCTGCGGGCTCTCTGACTGGCCCATGCACCATGATTAGCGTCATTGCCACCGCATAATTTTTGGCACCATCCCCCAACGGTGGGTTATATCTTCTGCCTGCTGTTTGGGTATTGTCCTCAGTGTTGTATGTCTTGTACGGCGGCTTGCACCTCTGATTCCTGCGCCGGAGTTGCGTCTGCGATGCAGATTGGTTCCTTGTCCAACCCGCGTCAGTGCCGCCTAACCATGCATTCCAGGGGGCGTTAACGCTGTCCCCATGGCGTGCCCATCCCGCTGCTTTCCAGCCTGTGTTTTTCTAGTGTCGTATCGATCCGGGCGTGATGTCCTTGACCGGGATGGCGTGTCAGATACGTGTGCATCAGCTCCGTGTTCCGGCTGACCGAGCAGTGCACCTCGCTGACGGTGACGCTGGTCGTGACGCTGCGCAAGTTCGTCAGCCTGCTCTTCTCCATCTGGTACTTCGCCAACCCGTTCGTGGCGCAGCACTGGGTGGGCTCGGCGCTCGTGTTCGCCGGCACGCTGCTCTTCACCGACCCGTGCGGCGCGTTCGCGCCCAGCGGCCTCATCGTCGAGAAGTAGCGCCGCGCGCCGCACCAGTACGGATGGTGCGCGCACTGCTGGGTTCGGACGTCGGGCCGGGCGTCGACGCTACGGCCTGGATGCGGAGATGGTCACCGCATCGCGTTTAGGCTGGCTTGCGCTGTTATGCTCTTCTAGGGCACAATTTGTTTGTGGTGTTACATGTAATCGATTTATGATTAATGCCAGTACATAATCCTCATGGAAATCTTGGGCTTGTCCTGTTCGTGTTTCCTATGGTCTCTGATTTTGTATTGCTTGACTCAAAGTGTTGTAAGGGCTCACAGAGCTCGTAGCTGTTTCCACTCATCATTGTTGATGTTCACCTTTCATAGCGGGAGCGTTCTGGTGTCACGGGTGCGATGATGGTTTTTGCCTGAGTCTAGGTTGGGGACGCTTTAATTGTGTGCGGGTAGCTGCGTGTTGTATTTGCAGTTTGATATGGTGCGGGGCGCCTTTTCTAGCAGCTCTTTGCAGTGATCGTGGCGTAGGTAGGTTCTCACGCACACTCACAATCTGTTGTTTTGACCATGTTTTACAATACATGCAAAAAACCAATGCGAATGGCAAGGACCGGGAGGGACGTCCAATCTTTGATAAGTTGTCGACACTCCGGTGCCAGAATTGATGCTCATCTGAACCGGCGGTCTCCTCACGCTGGACACCGGTGCATGTTCTGCGTGAACCGAGAACTCGAGGTTACCAGAGGTCCGGGGTCCGATTCCTCGCAGAGCCCGCGCTTCTTGCGAGGGTGTGAGGCGGAGGACGGAATGTAGCGCCAGGAGCTGGGTACCTTGTAAAGCTTCGATGACACATGAATTATCCATGCGTGCGCCTGACACGTGAGCGCGCAAATAATTTTTAACACATTAAAAAACATTTTAGCCGCGCGCTGCTAGCATGCGAGGCGTACCACTCCTGGCCATCCCGGTGATCTTGCTAGTCGACGGCACTAAGCGCTGACCTGTCCCGGAGCCTCCACATCGGCCATGGACCACATCGGCCATGGACCATGATGATATACCCTCGCCCATCTTCACATTCCCTTCACCTAGCTCGCCCGCTTCTCGAAGCTGGCTGATTTAATCACAGCGATCTCGGCGTTCTTGGCAGAAGTCTTGTCATACCGACACTCTGCCCACTTCAAAGTGTTCAGGTCGCTGCTCAAAGGACGTCACGAGGTCGGCATAACTTATCATTGCGATGATGTCTGACTATGCAGGCCGGAAGACGCGCTTCACCCGTACAGAACACCGACTGTCGACGTTGGAGAGTGGGTGTCCGGAATTGAGACTGCACCAACTCCGATCGAGGCGGCGATCCATCACCAGCTCTGTTCGAGTCGGCGATTCATCGCCAACTCCGATCGAGGCGACAGTCCATCGCCAACTCCGATCGAGGCGACAGTCCATCGCCAGCTCTGATCGAGGCGACAGTCCATCGCCAGCTCTGATCGAGGCGACGATCCATCACCAGCTCTGGTCGAGGCGACGGTCCATCGCCAGCTCTGGTTGAGGCGACGATCCATCGCCAGCTCTGATCGAGGCGACGGTCCATCGCCAGCTCTGGTCGAGGCGACGATCCATCGCCAGCTTGATCGAGGCGACACGCACTAAAATACCTAAAATATGCCATACCACCACAGGACCCCGTTAGACATTCGACTCCTCACCGACACAAGGGCTCTTTCATTGATTCAGGGGCCCCGATCAACGTGAATTGTGCGCCCGGCTTTGTCCCTGCTTGGGAAATGGACCTCAACGCCCAGAACGACATGGAGCCGACTGTTCGGTAATGGCAGTGCCAGACCGGCATGGAGGCTGTCATCAGCTTAGGGGTCCTAATGTACACAAGGGCCCTCCGGTTGTCATTCGAGGGCCCAGCCCCGTGGGCCGGCGCCTTATAATGCGACCTCTGGCCAGCCCATTAGGCCCTTAAGCCGAACACTGGATTATAGGTCCTGGAAGGTCTGAAGGACCCTTTGCAACCTAATGAGGGCGGCACGTGTCCCCTGTGCCCCCACCTGCGCCCCAAGTAAAAGGCAGAACATAGGCAGCATAAGCGCGTTTGTGCGAGTACTGCCACCGAGTTTTGCGAGCCCGGAGATGGGCTAGGATTGACTGTGCGTTGCCTTAACTCATCCCTGCGCGAGCAGCAGGAGTGCAGAACGCAAACATTACTATGCAGATATCACCCCAGTGTGAGGCCCACCAAGCCCAGCTTGGGAAGTTGCTGACGCTCGCGTGTGGTTGTTTCTGCGCGCTGCGGTCAAAAGTCGCGAAGATGCAGAGGGACCTCCGAAGTTTGGTGTTTGACGTTCGTCTCGGCGCGCGCCACGCTGGTGGCGGCATTCAGGACGTCGCCCGACAGGTCATGTCAAGCAAATAAACGGATCTCGATACTTGGATTTCGTCCGCTATGTTTCATCCAGGACTACCAAACGCACATCGGGCAACGTTGGCGCAGGGTTAAATTTGTTTCAAAGGCGGCGACCATATAGGAGGACATGACAAACAGTCGAATGGAAGAAGGCTTAGCGAAAAAAGTTAAAAAGGATATAGGTCGCCTTTTTCCGCATTTTCAACCATTTTGACCGCTGCTAGTTTTACTAATCCGAGCTGACATTTATCCCTGTCGCCAATCTGTCTTTCAAGGCATTCCGTTTCCACATATATCTTGTCGACTTCTGTCCTTTGAGTTTTCTTTTTCGGCTTTCATCCCTGTTGACAGATAGTAAGCAGATTCAAATTAAGCGCATTAAACGCAGTCTATGCTCGTAAGCCATGACCCCAACGCCGTGTACGCCGTTTAGCACAGTGTCAATTCCGAGACAGGGCAATTTTTCTTCAGTTGTCATCTCCTGGGTGAGGGCCGGTGGACCAAAATCCCGCCGAAGTCAGGCTTGAGCCAAGGACTACGAAACTACACTGGCATACACTATCCCTTGTGCCACCGGGGTAGTCGAAACGGATACATATATCGATTTGAAACCTGCCATGAGCGTGTATGATTATTGTCTCTATTAGATACGTTACAGTACTTGGGTATTTGTTTCACAAATTTAATTCTTTAATTTTTCCACCACTCTTCTTTTATCTGTGTACTAGAGACGTGACCTTTCTTTCAATCCGAGAGCACGGTTTTGTTCATCTGGCTTACATCCAGTTAAGTTCCATATTTTCCTGGATTGTTCAGGGCAAGAACTCGCTTCAGTTCGCAATTTATATTTAGTTTGGTCGAATTACATGCTAGCTGTGGCGCCGCTACGCGGTCAGTGGGGGATGCTGAGCACCGCGCTTCAATTTTGACCCACATGCAGCTTCCTCGCTCTGTCTCGGTGGAAACTATTGTCGTCCATCGGTCCACATGCAGCTTCCTCGCTCTGTCTCGGTAGAAACTATCGTCGGGCATCGGCCCACATGCAGCTTCCTCGCGCTGTCTCGGTGGAAGCTATTGTTGGGCACCATTATCGGTTCGTAGGTCGACGATGGTCGAAGCCAGGTTTCAATACCGACGTTGAGTCAACGTTATGCGGCGTCTGATGTTAAACGGGCGGCAGCTTAACAGTGGTAGCTGACCCGAAGACCGGAAGCTGAAGACGGACTGCATTCCACACTCGCGTCCGACACGTTCGACGCGGCTCGTGCTATTTTGGTGGTCGTCGTTGCCGCACGATTACGGCTATCGGTATAGGCAACTGGGACCAATCGTGAGTTATCGAAAATGTTCCATTACATGTTTATGTTGAATTGGAGATCGGCACATTTCGAGAGCTCTGCAAAGTGTAGACAGCAAAGGAGTATTCGTCACGTTTTGGAGAGCTGAAATGCGACTGGCCTGTTTTGATTTGCAGATCAGACCCTGATTGTGGCAAAATAACACAAATTAATGGAGACCCATTGTAGCATACGGTACCTTAGGCATCACTGAATAATAACAAAACAGCCAGATAATAAAAGACCAGAGTTAAGGAAGACATGCATCGATTCATTATAAACACTTGGCAAACAACACACACAGAAAGTGCTCAAGTACACACGGTACGAACGCAGAGATCAAAGGGTATGACCAGCTCGGACAGATGCATCCAGCTGAAGACGACCTTGCACTTCTCATCTCTGTTATCGCTTTTACCTGTGATAAATCCTTACTGACCTTCGTTAAACTTGGCGTGATTTATAGCTACCGTTTGCAATGTATTGCATGCGATGAAACACGAAAGTGTTCGGGAGTCAAATTAGGCGATGGGAGGCCAGTGGCCCACCCAAAGAATGCAGTCGAACTCCGGGCCTGCGCGTCGTGAATTTTCTTCAGCATCTTCAGCCGTGTGTCGTTGATCGTCAGCAAAAGTGTCCGAGCACCGCTCCACCAGTAGGAGCGAGGTTCGTGTCGGCAGGGGCAGTGTCAGTGGGCACAGTTGTGCCGGGCAAAATTTGCCGTTCCACTGGGCAGTGACTACGGTTTATGAATCTTCGCATGCCTGTGATTACAGGTGGGTGCCCCTAGTTGAGCCACTGATGGTAAGTCCAGCCATATAAGTCATGACAAGTACCGTGAATGCTTTTTCGGGCACTACTGTCCCATAACTTCTGTGAAAAAGCTGATTGCTTGATTTCCACTGCAGAACACCGTGGGTTGGCTTGGTTAGAGATCGGTTTGCACAGGTGCTTCAGGGTGGGTGGGCCGACACAGAAACGCCAGTTAGGTTTGACGAGGTAATCAGTTCGAACGGCGTCTACATGTTACCGTAGCAGAAGGCCGCATTCGTTCGGATTTTTCTTTAATCGAATGCCATGTATAACGGTCATGTAAGTCATACGGCTCTGTTGGAACACGGAAATAATACAAAAGATCGTTCAGCGATTGGCGCGCGTAATTTTCCCTGCATCTGGAGACGAAAGTAAAAGCGCAATGACACGAGCTACACAGACAGATGATTCTAAATGATTCTGGGCGAGCTCAGGTCTCAGCAATTCCCGTTATACTGAAAAAGAATTCGTACAACTCTTAGTCTATCTTCGTCTCGTAAGGTTTTGAACTCTTGAATTGGTTCCGCGATAAAGTGTGGTGGATGGCGATGGTCTGCAGAAAGCTTCGCGCCTGTCTCTGGCGGCTTTGTTGGTAGTGACCCGGCGGGTGCCCCGGAACATATCTGAGTGACTCTGTCATGACCATCCAGCCCACATCACCGCCTGTCACTGTTCGTCGAGCCTCCGTTGTCTTCTGTAGACGATTGCTTTTCCAAACGCACGGCTTACATGGTTGCGACCCGTTTATTGAGCGCCACGTCAGCGATCGCAGTGATCGTATTGACGCCAAGCAGCGTACCTCCAAGAGGAAATCAAACTCGGGCCCAACATGGGAGTTTACATCGTCATTTACCGGACCACGTTTCACCCTGTCCATATGACTGACATGCCTCATAACGGCAGTCCTACTTATCTACTTGTGCGAGACTGAAAAGTAGGCTTTGCTCTGGTCCGTGTCCGGCTTCACCCCATCATCGCCAGGCTTCCACCCCACGGGGCAAACTGGAACAAAACCAGCGCACTGCGTGTT